TTTAATTCCAGAGAAAGGCGAATGCCTAATTTTGTGCTACTTAAATGCAATCTCCTTGCTCTTTATTGTTCCTCTCAACCCACTAGCCCCAGGCTGCCACTTACTACAGAGGTGCTGCCTTCTGCTGACTCTAGGGTCTTCTCATCCTGCTGATTCTCATCCAGAGCCAACAACCTTGCTTTCCAAAACCATATTTCTTCCTGCTCTGGGGTTTCATTAAAAAAAAAAAAAAAGGAGGCCAACAGCCACTGAAGAAAGGAAAAAATGATTGATCTTAGACCCTTTTGTCTGCCTGTAACAGTTCTCAACCAGGCCTCCAAGCAAACTTGTCCAATAGTATTGCTTTATTTTTTAATGACTATTATAGACAAAGATCCGATTCTTCATCATAGCTTGTGTGGTTCTGAAACTTTATTATGAAACTATGTGTCAAATCAATACTGTCAGTCATTGCACTGCTTTACAATGTTAAAGTACGCTACAGAGTGGGCAGACAATGAGCACCAAAGGTAGAAGAGAAAAAGGCTAAATTTAATCCCTTTGGTGACACACTTCTGATACTTGCTGTTTTTTAAACAATTACACAGCCTTGTAAGTTCTAAAAAAAATAAAGCAGCAATACTTGCGACTCATTATGTGCCACAGTTTTAATAGAGTATGGCAGAAATGAGGTGGCACTTTAAGATATTTTATGTTTTAAATACAATAGTCATAGTCAAATAGGAACAAATAGCTCCATAAAGTAGATTGTTTGTTTCTATAAATTAATCTGGAAGAAAAAAAATTGGCCTCTGAATCACTGACTACAACGAGGTTACTTACGTGCTTCAAACTAAGTACACATAAATGACTACCAGACTTACGGATAAAATTTGCTACAGCAAATTCCACTTAAGTTCATGTGTCATCTGTGTTAGGACACAACCCAATCTCAAAACAACTAAATAGCAGCATGTAAACAGCTCTTCATGCCTCTCCCATGATTTGTGCAGTTCATAAAACACAGGACCTAATATTATACTATAGGGTTAGAAATTCAGAAACAAATTGCAAACAAAACCTAGGAAAGAATCAGAAAAGCTTGCCTGTACTCTGGCAAAAGACTCGCAAAAAGATTTGAAAACTTCTATGTGGGGTCCATCTTCAGATTTCTTAAGACTTGCCACATTCTCCAGAAAAAGAATGAGATGTTGGTACAAAACAATTCACGTTTTGCAGCATATTAATGTACTGATTTTTCCAAGGGGACAGGGGAGGGGAAAATGCCACTTTGGAAGAACAACCAATGTTCTGAGAATAAACTCAACGCCAACTTGGCAATTTGCATGTCAGAAATGTCTTTGACTTTTATAAGACACGCATGATGGCAAAATTAAGGCTGTTAAAAATATATAGTTTACTTCAGTAGTTTATAATTCACAGTGGCATTTAGTGGGTGGAGTTGTAAATTGGTAAGTGGACCCTGCCACAGCAGGGCACGCTGCTACTCTGCAAAGAGGAATCTTTACTAAGAATAGGAATGTGGTCAGAGTGATAATGAACAAGGGCTTAGCATGCCTGAAATGCTGATGGGAGATCTGCAGATGGTTGTTGGGTGTATAAAGGCTGCTCTAGAAATTAGATGTTATCAAAGATTTCTGAAAAGACTGAATTGGGATGAAAAGCATACAAAGTTTAACCAATAAGGCTTAGTTTCAATTTCTGGTAGTACCACTGAAGGGAACAGTGACCTATGAAACATTTACATTCTTGATAACTTGGAAGGCACAGTTGTACGGACAATAACATGAAGTTGTTCTGCCACAAAAGGGAGGCAAGACTGAAGAAGAGTCTCTACACCTAAAAAGATCTTTTTTCCTATGACTTTGCAAATACAGTAGATTAATCAGCCACAAAAATAATGTGCTATGTTAATCAGATATTTGATTTGGTGTGTCAAACACTCAAAGAAAAAAGGCCTGATTTATAAGCCAGAGACTTCCTGGAAAGAAGAAATACCAACGTTCTTAATGCAATCAGAATTTTAAAGCTATTAGATTACTCTGGGCAAGAATAATTTACTTATCACTTGCTAGGAAGATATCGCTTTGAACTGTCTGTAGCTGTAAAAACCTTACCAAAAGGCCACAAACCAGTAGCATTATATTAAGAATCCTGAGTGAAAGGTGCAGATAAATAGGGATGGTAATATAAAACACCCTCCACCTTCAAATATGTTGAAGCTTTACTACTGAGTCATAGTAGTATCTGATTACTTTTCAGCCATAAGTTTACAAGAAAACACTCTGAACCCAAATGCAGAACAGGGTACCTGAATGATTTCCATGAATTCATGTTTCTGGCTGCCTGAATTTCACATCAGAGGACATCAGCACAGTACTTTCACTTCTCTGGCCTTAAGCAACATGCAAGAGCTATGTGTTTAGGTCAGCCTTAAAACGATCCACAGGCAGCCTTTCAACAAAAGCAAAAAGAAATCTGTCTGAAATCACTGCGTCCACTTCATGCCGTAGCACGACCCCTTCCTATCGGGCCCTGCTTTGATCGCTGTTTGTGCTGGCCTGCTCAAAGCCTCCCAGCACAGCAAGGGTTGTGCACAGACGTCCCACTGCTAAACAGTTTGTCAGTGGAGGAAGCCGGGTCACTTTGCCTGAAGGAAGACACGGACAAAGTGATTTTGTCACAAAAAACAGTACATAAAGCTTCTAATCTTGCTTCTCTCCAATGCAGAGCGTTAGACAATTCTGGTAGAAGACATGCTGAGTCGCACGTTAGTAGCCCATCTTTAAAATTTTCACTGATTGATTTAATTTACCACTGACTTGATAAAAGGACCATTAAAAAGCAATTTTGTGCTAGTAACCTATCATACTGGACTGGTGAGTCATCCACATGGAACTCAATGGTCACTACATGCCTTCTGTCAAGAAATTGCTTACGGAGGAAGCTATACGGAGAGACACTGAGTTTTATTATCTCCCTAGAAAGACTCCATCAGAAAGATTTTACAACAGGATTCACAGCAGATTACCACAGCTATTTCCCTAGCATACTGCACTGATCGTGTCAAGGCTTACTTGCTTACCCAGGGTAGTTCTCTGTATGGGCTAGTTATCAGCATCATCAAGGCAGAACAGATTTGGTTTTGCTCTGCAGTAAATACACAAATTATCTCCTACCCACCTGTACTTAGTCTTAAAATAACTCTCAAGCTCTGTGAGCTGTAGCCAATTAACATAGATACATTTCCACCTTTATTTTTGCCTCTCCGCAGGTGAAAATCTGGGTCAAGGATCCCACATCACATGACCAATCAGGTCCTTGCGCACCATGGGAAACTGTTGTACAGGTCAGAATTCAGGAATTTCTGACATATGACACTTGACTTGTACATATTCCAGCTAACTTTTACAGTGTCAAATATTCCTTATGATTCCTTTGGAATGGCTACGTTTATACTTTCTAAGTTTATTTCTGAACTGCCTAAACTTTGCATTTTTAACCGAGTATGAATCCACAGGAGTGCACTATCCTAGTTGGACAGTCATCACTGGTTATCCTCTTACCATTGCTTCATGGACAAATTTCTTCTCTAATGCTCTGTCTCCTGATATGATGTAAAACATGTTGTTTTTCTGATTAAAATTAATCTTTTCTCTAAAATAGGTTAATAAAATCTTGCAACTAAGCCACTGTATAGCACAGAGCGGCTCCTGGTAACTAACAGCAATTTTAACCAAAGTTTCAGGTAGCCAGTTTAGAGGCTTCAAGAAGACCCTAGGTGAGACTACACAGATGAATTCAGACAAATCTAATTTCTCCACCTCAGTTCAGAACTGGGTGAACACGATCGATCCATTTCCTACTCAAAGCTGTATGACTGTTAATACTAATCAGATGCAGTTAGAACTTGCCAAATACAAACTTGTAAAGATTTTGTACCTGAAGCTGTTAGCAACTTTGTTAATTCCAGATTTATCTCTTACAGATGATACAGTGAAAGAAAATGTTTTGTTTTCTAACTTCCTAGATAGCAGAAGATAGGCTGAAATCAAGTTACTGGATATCATTGTATCATTTACCACTGAAAAGCCTACATTTTCCATGATGACATTTATGTAATTTAGCTGATCCTGTGACATGCTTCTAAAAGCCAATTGTGGACTAGATTCAAGATTTGATTTCTGAAATCCTTCCATTTTTTCATACATGATGACTTTCAAAAGGGTTTGATATTTTTTCATGGTAGATAGGTAACTTCTTAAGAAGCACAAGCAGAACTAAATGAACACAAATAAGTGTGCTGATTTTGTAAGTGTGCTGATTAATGCACAAACCCTGAAAATATAATGGAAAGATTTGCTAATAACACAAGTTTTAAATAATAAATGATATTTTTATCCCCCAAAAGTACACACAAGCAGATCATTACCACATATCAGTATTTGTTAGGATAGATGAGTATTTGCGAACAAAGAGAACATTAGTATTCTTTCTCCACAGTATTTCATTGCTAGTAATTTGTAGTACGTTTAACAAACAGGCATTGCCTGTGCATAAACTAAATTATGTTTTCAGTCAACAATTACCTATTATTTAATATGTATTCTAAATTACATATATTTAACTTATCTGCATGCATTATTTTTCACAAGACATCTCAATTCTATGAGCGCAAAGCTATAAAAACAATCAGAATCTTTTTTTCATATTAACCCTGTATCAGCTAAATATTTACACATATGTTTAACCTGAGGCATAAGAAGGTCTTACTTCAGCGAACAGCTGCTGTACTGTTCTCGTACTCAAATACAGATAAATTCTTAACATCTGCTAAAGTTGTGACACCATGGGAGGTTATATCACCATATTCAGAGCTCAAATCATATCTGTATAATCTAAAATACTCCTCTGATTACATTTGTGAAGTATTACTATAGGATAGGTATACTCCTGATCTTAACAGGATGTAGTTTTTTTTAAACCATATTCCAGTTTTTCCCCATACCATATCCCAGCTCTACTCCCAGCAACCATTGGTGTTAAAGCTATGGGGAAAATAAAGGAGGGGAACCTAATGCCCCCTAAATTCCCACCTGTCTTAATAGGATAGATATCATCATCCTGGAAAAACAGATTTCTACAGGAATAGAAGTTTTATGATTGAAATATGACAGAGAACGGCTGGTAACAAAGCAACTATGCACCCACTCCAGGAGTGTTCTCCTCCACCACGGAAACTGGAAAGTAATGTGTGATCATCTGTGTCTAACGCGCTGAAAGCAGGCACATAAGCATTTACAGACCTAACACATGGCAAATTCACAGACAAATTCACAACTTTGTGTGATCACCTTACGCTTGCACACCTTTCACTAGTGTCATGCAGTCTGCTCTTTCACTTCTGTTCCAGAAGTAATATAGTTCTTTTTATCAGTAATGCCAGGCAAATTTTTCATAGGTGACCAGCCAGGAGGATATACAGCAGCAACTGACCTGCTTTTCCAGGCCCACTGCAGAAGTTTTCCTAGAGAAGAACATTATAGGGTTCAGTCTTGAAAATATAAGCCCTTGCTTCTAACAAGAGTTAGAGACAAATCCTGTAAGCTTTCTTTATTACTAAAATGAATGAAATGGAAGAATTCAGCCAAACATCGTTACATATGAAGCTTTCAGAAACTCCACATAATTCTGGATGCTCTGGGTCTTGTTTTCTGACTTCTGCAGCCTGTTCTCCAGCTCTTTCAAGCATACTTCTTGGTGCTTTTCACTCTAAAGAAAACAAGAGAGATGCAATGAAAATTAGAAAAGCACAAATCAAAATAATAAAATTATTTTATTACATTTTAAAATTATCTATTACAGTAGAAGCCTTTATATGCCCAGCTAGAGTTTTCCTTGGCTCTACAAACCTGAAGGTTCCCAAAAGAAACTCAAGATATTGAACATTTATTGATGATCCAATCATGACCAAAACGAACTTGCTTGAACAGGCTTATAATCCAAAAAAGGTCTGTGAACGTAGAAGCTAACTTTTCTAATTTGTATCGTGAAAGATTGCTAGGAGCTTAATTCTACTGTGGACTTACGGCTCTCTCATGTTGATTTTTTAATAAAATACATGTTATTGATCTCTGATGCAACATGACATTTGTTGCCTCTGGTTCCTTATTAAAATAAAGGTTGACTGATTGACAGCAGTGCTGCATGCTCATTAGATCCACACTTTATGCACACTATAGATGATTCGTTATATAAATACTACAGATATTCAGAGTATTTCCTTTCATGTCTATTACAGATTTTAGATGCTAGTCAATTAAAGTAAATTTAACTTTAAAAAAAAGGAATTATATTTAATTATAGTCTACGGATTTAATTCCAGCTTTAGAAAAAATAACCAAGTTAAAATGAATAACTAAAGAAAGTTATCTTCACGCTCCTATTTTGTTTCCAACTTTGTTAGGACAACAGGAATAAAACAATTTTATCACTTTCCATAATGTAGTCTCAGTTATATGTATAAGTAATTAGAAAAAAACCACATTATATCTTCTGAATTAATTCACAACAGTTCTTCTCTCAGACATTAACAACTTTTCACACTTATTTTTAGCTGTAAGCTTAAAATAGAAACCATGTAACAATATATTTTAGTTCTTACACAAAGGGATCAGGGAATGGTCTCACAAGTGATATGAATTCTTATCACCTAGGGTCAGTGAGTCTCAGCACTTCTTTGCCGTCAGCCATTGGTGTGAGGGTTTAAAACAGACTAAGAAGCAAACAATCATGTAGAAATGAAAAATTATTGGTCATTTGATTGTAAATAGCAAAATCAAATTACTTTCAATAAAACCACACGCTTGAGATCTGATTCTGTTTCCATCAAACTTGGTAACTGGACTACCACTGATTTTAAAGAAAACACGAACACGAGGCATAAAAATAAACAGCAGTAAAGTAATGTAAAAATATCACACAAGCAGTATAAACAGATTCCTTTCAAACTGATTTAAAAAAAAAGTCTTGACAAAAATGCAAATGCAGGTCTCTACCTCTACTTGTTTTCTAAGTTGCAGAGAGAAATAAATTAGGATCTAAGTACGCGCAACTGTCAATTAAGGTATAACAGTGGACGGTCCCAGTATGCAGGGCAAGTACTGCTGTCACTGAAAATCATGCCTAAGTTAGAAAGCGTGAAAAATTTCTTGATCCTCTCATTTCTGCAGAACAACTCTAGAGTACAGCAGATCTTACCCTCCTGTCTCAGAGTTCTGTTCTTATCACTGTTTTCTCTTACCAAGTATTCATTTTCGTTTTAAACGCACTATATCATCCACCTATTACTTAATTCAAAACATAAACCAAGCACTGATCATTAAACAAGCTACTGAAATTAGGACAAAAGTACATGAGTAAAAGCTCTGTGCTATGCTGACTCTGTCTCCTTAAGATGAAAATGGGGTTTAACTGATCCAGATCTTAAAATGAGATCGTTATCCTTCTTTTCTGCCCCCTTCTATAAAAATAAAGTTTTCAGCTGGAAAAGACATAGAGGGTCAGGACTCCAATACATATCAGCTTACATTCTGAGTATATACTTAACTAGTCACACCTGAGCAGATTCTGGACCCTCAATTTAGACTTGTATCGTCTATGGAAGGGATTTCTGAAGAACAGAGATCTGCTGATAGGTTTTCTATCCCCAGCAACTAAACCAGCTTCAGGGCCTAAAAGCCCCAAAGCGCAGGGAAAGAATAATATACCTTTTTAGTGTCTTTAATTTGATTGTAAATAGCGTTGTAACTTATTATCACTGATCACTGTATCAAAACTTGGATTAAAACAAATTATATGCCCTCACTGGTTTAGGGAATTCAGACATGTCTTCCATGCTATTAGCAGAAAATATGCTGAAATTTTCTGGATTAGTTAAAAAGGAAATCAGACATAACCATTTTTTGGTTGGTTAGATTTTCAAAGAATATTAACCATCCAGTACATCTATTCAGTAGAGCCACAGTCTAAGAAGGGAAGTGTCAGCTTATCAAGTCCTAGGCATTTAAAGGCTTGGCACTTTGAAAATCAGAACATCTGTTTAATTACTAACTATGTATGTGCAACAAGATCAGAAAACCAAAACCAACTCAGAAAAGTACCACTATGGTACTTTTGGTACCAGACCATACTTATGGTATGGTATGTAACCGTTATCCATTTACTCAAATCTAGGTAAGCTTACTGAACAGAGAGCAGCCTTGCTGGCAAAACTGGACTGAATAAGAGATGTAAGCTCAATACTCTCTCAGTGATTTAGCAAGACAGACTGGGCATCTGGTAAGTATTTTAAAAACGTCCATATACAAAACACATTGTCAAGTTGGATCAATTTGCTATTGTCTAATGCGTGTATCAATTCCATTAAAAACGTATTTTTCAGCTGAAGTAATTTTATGTGAACAGTGATAACTTGGCTGACTATGGCTTAAACAAGCCATAAACCGCATTGTTCACTCACATGATGAAACATGCAGAGAAGTTGTTTTTTCTCTTCTTCTCTCTCTCTTAATTCAGTTTCAAGAACTAGCATTTTTGTCTGAAGGGCTTGTTGCTTGTATGATATTTTTTCCATTTCTTCAGATACCTATAATGGTAATGAGAGAGAAAAGGGTATATGCTTACTCTCACTCAAAGCCCAGAACAAATAATTTTCTTGTAATCGTTAATAGCTCTATTTCCTATTCAGCTATTTCCCATCATTTCTCACTTCACAGAAATGAAACAAACCTGGGAAGCATTCTGACTGAATTTGACCTAGTTTCAAATTGAAATAAAACATAATAATTAATGAGAGTGGAACACGTTGGTAACTCATTTGTAAATATGTCCAAAAGTGAGTTTTTTTCCAAAACCAAACAACACCCTCAGAAAGTACTGAGAAAATTCAGATAGTTAATTTCAATATGATTACTTTGAGAGGGAAATTACAGTTTCACACATATTTTCTGATTAAACTAATATAATTCACAGAAATCTATATTCCTACATTTCCTTGCCCATACGATCTAGTTTTTATCCTTTCTGCAAATGTCCTATCTCTGCTTAAGATTAAAAGTGTACAAAGCCTTCCTCTAAAATCAGAAAGATTTCAGCACCAAAGTCCTTGTGGGTTGCATACTTCAAAGAAAATAAGAAAAAGGCAAGATTAAGCTCTTATGCAGAAACTTTTGGCTGTATGTGTGGATTTAAATACTAGGTGGCTAAAGCATTTAGCTTGTTTTGTCGATAAATACGACGGCAAAACATTGCTCCACTGAATTTTGTCATTAATTTCAATAGGATCAGGATTCCACCAAGAAATTGAATTGTCCAATTCATATTTAAACGTGCAGAATTCCCAGTAGGTAGGCTTTTCAGCATTGCTCCCTATATGCAAAATAATCTTGTCCCATTTTTCCTTCTCAAGCATATTTCTTTTAAGGTTATTTTTTATTTCTAAATAGAAAATCGCAAGTAAGATTAAGAGACATATTAAACCATCAATACCATTTTTCTCCCTTCCTCCAAAGCAGATTGCAGCTGTCTGGCTAAACCATCACACTCTGCAATTTTCTCTTTAAGCTGCAATTTACTGCACTGAAGACTCTCGTCTTGTTTTGCGAGCTGATTAGCAAATTCTTCATTTTGAAATTCCATCTCTTCCAACTGCCTTTATGCAAAAGAGATTAAAGCATTACACTTCATTATAGCAAGACAGGTGTAAAAAATTGACTGCAGTCACATTTTAATAAAAGTTACCTTTTAAGATCTTCATATTTCTTCTGAATGTTGCAGTTTTCTTCTTCCAAGGAATGACTGCCCAAGAAAGCTATACTGTCTTCCTCCTGTGAGAATAACAATTCCTTTCAACTGAAGAGACAAACATTCAATATATTACAGACCAGCGTAAACTTGCCTCTTAAAATCCAATCAAACAACATAACTGTGAAAGCAGGCAAGCACTATCTTGTATTTAAAACAAGTAAAATACAATCAAAGTAGCAGACAAAAACTTTGGGTGAACACTTAGACTGCAGAACTGCTATGTAAAAAAGTGAAATCTGAACATGACTCTCATATTGCCCATGCAATCTTTTCTATTAGAGTTGGCCAGGTCTACCTCACCGCAAACTTGACTCTTAAGCTGTAAATTCCATTTAAAAAGGAGTTTCCTCACACTACAATCACATGAAGCAAAGAAAAAAAAAGATATAACATAAATACAGTTGTATTACAGAAGAACAGCTTAGCACTGGCAAAGGATTTCAGAAAGTAGTGAATATTTACAGTCAAGAAAGACAATCAGTAGCAGAAGCAGAAAAAAGGGGGAAGCCAAGCTGTCCTGCCCCTATCCAGCATTACAGGATCACAGGATCAAGGGCCAGATCAGACTCTCTTAGGGACATCACCAAGGTTTAACACCAAAATTTAACTGCTATTTATTCAAATTAGCTGTTCTACCAGACTAGTGGTTACATTCAAAATTACCCCACTATACTTAAGAAATTTTTTGCATTTTGTCAGGAAAACCTACAGTTACATTTAAATTACATACTTAATTTTATATATAGCTCAAAATTAATTGTCATCTAAGTGCTTTCCTAGGCAGATATTGATTTATGAGCTTATGGGTATTCCTGGTATGAGTGTTAGTACAATGCAAACAAGAACAGATTTTGATGCTATTTGATGCTATAAAGATGATCTTGACAAGAAATTTAACAAAAAACCCAAAGCTACTTTTTATAGGCATATAAAGCCAAATGGGAAACAAAGAGACTCATTCGATTTCAGATGAAGCCAGGGTAAGTTTTCCCCACTGACACAGGAAGAAAATTAAAGTCCTTTCCTCTTCTACGGATTCAAACATCTTTGTCAGTTATGCTGGCAGAGTATTCCTTCTACTTCAAAGCACATTAAAAAAAAATAGCCGTACCATGTATATTGATGTTCATAAACAAAAACAATCTATTTTAATTAATTTTAAAAATCAAATAGACGAAACATAAGGAATATTCAGACTCAGGCTTCAAAGAGAAAATACAAGAAGTAATGAGAAATTAGCTTATCAAAGCATATTTTTGTTTTGTATGTTATCAGTACAATGTAAGCATTCAAATATTAACAGTTTTACAGCATCAAAAATATACCTATGACTATTTCTCTGAGCAAATATTGTCTGGTTTATAAACTACCCATTAAAAAAACGGGATGAAAGTGGAATTAAATTATTCCACTAGATACAAGCAATCGTTAGAATTGTACATCTATTTCCACGGAAGAATTCTGCAACACTTCTCATGATACTGCTATTCAAAAGGATCAAGGACTTACTCATTTAAAAGATATAGAATCTAAAAGCAAATATAAGTACTAGACTTTCCTGTCATGTACTGAATACACCTAAATACACTTGGCAATAGCTTTATTTGCATTGTGCTGGTTCTGCTGAAGGGGCTTTTGCTTTATGAAGCAACTAACAAAGGGAAGGGCACAACAGCTACAAGAACAAAAAGAAAAAAAAGTGTTCCAAAGACTTTCTTCCGCATAATTTTCCTACTTATCTTTAAAAATTATGTTCTCAGCACCTGAACCTGCAGCTCCCTAAGAGTTTTGCATTTCTGTGCATGGATCCTTTGACAGGACATAAGGTTTTCCTGATATTCTTGCAGCTTTTCTTCAGCTGCTTTCAGCAAGTCACGAACATGTTCTAACTCCTTTAAGTCAGCCTCCATTTTGCCCCTCACCTGCATGTTTGCATCACAGGAGAAAAATGTAAGTGAAAAACCATAAATTAATTGTTGCAATACTTGATGGTTTTCCATGTAAGTAATAAATCTGAAATTCTACATGTTACATAACATTATCTATTTTATAAAATACTGACAAGGTTACAAGTTCACCGTTGGAGAGATTTCTCTCTCTGACTGCACTTCAGTAAAGACTCTGTAACACCGATGGTAAACATTTACAAAGCTACGCAAACGTTAGCAGTTTATTAAGCAGAACCTCAATTTTTTTTTAAGTCATAATACATTTTGCAAGAAGGCACACAAATGAGCTAAGCAGCTTACAGGAGAAGCTCTGACCATACCATTATTGCAGTATTTGAAAAGAGGGCAACAACTAATGCCATAAAAATGCACTCGCAATGCTCCTCAAGTATGATCTATGGGATCAAAAAGCTCCATTCTACAACTGAATTATGGAAAAACGAATAAAGTTAGCATGAAATAAAATAAATATCCAAGACTCTTCACTCTGAGGACTGATCCTATTCTATAAAACCACGGCAGGCAATGCAAAATCTGTCCTTGCCTGAGTTTCATTGCTTAAAAGCATATGTATTTTGATGAGCAATGACATTGAGAAAATTGATTTTCCTATCAATTTTGTGTATTCTGGTGCTTGTGAAAGTGCTATCTGTATTTCAGCATTCAGCTCCACCTACTGAAAAAACTTAAAACTAGTCCCTGTACCGATTCTCTGTTTTAACTGCTAGTTCAAATGAACAACTTACATTGCAAAGGAAAGTCTTACAGTAGGTTGCCTTCCCACCCAATCTTTTTTGCATAGATTTCTGTAGAGAGATCTAGTTTCAAAATCAACAGCAAATTCTTGATTTTTAAAAGCAGTATAAAGGAATCCCAAATTCTAAAGTAACAGTCCTTAGTTACTATTCTAGGAAACATACCTGACCTGTTCACAATTGTGTAGCATCCAAAAAAAAAAATCAACTGCTCACAGGCAAGCTTTAGGAAAGCATTTAACGCACCTAAATTCAGTTTTATAGATGGAAAAAGAAAAAAGGAAGAGAGACAGTACCTTATGATTCCTAACGAGTGAATCGCAACAACATATGAAGAAACAATGTTCTACGGAATTGTGCAGAAGCATACCTTAATACTACAAAACTTACCTTATCTACTTCTAAGCATTTGGTTTCTGTTATTGTTTTGTTTTCATTTAATACTGTTTCATATCTAGATTTCAGTTCTTCTGCTTCTGTTTGCAATTTTTGTACCTAGGACACAATATGTTTTTATATATTTTTTCAAAAGTTCTTTTTTTAAACTGTAAAACATAGAAATATTAGTACCAATAGTAGAAAGGAAATCCCTTCATTTCTAAATATAATCTTAGTCTTTGTCATCATATGAAGTTATTTATTTTCATTATCCTACCTGCCACAGCAAATATAAAATGGGAGACAACCAGCTAGAGAGCAAGAACAGAGCATCTGGAGGCAAGAGTGCAGAAATAAGCTGAATTAGTTAACATACTGCTGCCATTACACTAAACACCAATTTTCAGATGTTCGTATGCATTCTGCTGGAGTAGAGGCTCCCCTGTCATAAGCTAGATCAAACAAGAAAGCACTAGAATCTGTTTTGTCATAATGCAGTAATTGTATTAGTTTCCCCTTTTTTTCAAATGTAGCCCAGTTTGATGGACTCACGTAATGTGAAACAGTCTGAAAGAAGACTGAATATTAACGCCCCCCTGAACCTAACAAGCCCTTATATCACCATTTAATTTTCAACAGTAGAGAATGAGCTACAGTTGTGCTACAGAAGCAGCTATCCTGGCTCACTCTTCTCTCCTAAAATAACAAGCACAGTCAATGACAGTCCCCATCTGAAGTCACCAAAGCAGCCAGGGGCTAGGGAATTTCAGCCTCCTTAGCGGTTAAGGTTAGCTCTTTCCTGCAGCTACAACCCCCATCTTACAGCTGGCAAAGACAAACTGTGGTGCTGTGTGCCATGGACTTAAGAGTCCGTAACTGTACTTAAGATTCTGTAACAAGTCTTTTCTCTTGTCAGTGATTTCCAAAAAAGAGGTGTGAGGACTGTCAGTGAAATGGGGCCTATACTATAGCAGAAATATATACAACTTTGAATTAAAAAGCTTTACAATTTCTTCTCTAAAAATAAAGCCAAATACAAAATAGGAATTGATAAAAAGCACATTTTTAAGTCTGTTTTACATGTATTCCTGTGTAAATAAGGACACTTTAGAATGGTGCTTGAACACTGTTTTACTATTCTGAGGAATGTGAAAATACAGACATGAGTGTTGAGAGGTAAAATATCACTGAAAAATATCCACTAAAGACTTCAGATTGAAATTTTAGTTTTTAAACTGATTCTATTGGGTTGCCTATTTGCTTATTAGGAAGCAAACCTCTTCTAAGTCAGTATGCAATCAGGTCTGTTGGCTTCAACAAGATCACTCCACTCAGTAAGGATTAAGTGTACTAGCGAAGGTGTTGGTATTACTCTTGGATATGATCCAAGAGTATAGATACGACCCGGAATGTTACGGCAGTATTACAATTACCCCTACAACAAATCTGCTTTGTTACAAGTAACATCTTTATAATTTCCTCAAAACTGTTTATAGTTCTAAAATCTATACTTAAACATTTCAAATATGCTAGTCACCTGATTTTTATACTGCTCAACAAGGTTTTCCTGCAGCTTTGCTTTTTCTTGAAGGTCTAGCAGTTCACTTTCAACAGAAACAGTACTGGTTTTCAACACAGCAAGGGAAGCCTTTATTAAAACATGGAAAAACAAATTTTAAGAGTGTTTTTAAAATAGAACACAATCTACAATATTGTATTACCAACATATGAGCTATAGACCTTAAAAAGGGTGACACAATTATTCGTCCTGTCAATTAAAAGGATAGTCCCCAGTTCATCTGCCAGTTCACGAGGACGTTTACTTTGGAAGATAAATACAATATAAAAACTGTAAATTCTTTAAAAATTGAAAATAATTATCAAGCTGAACTCAGTTCCTATATTTATAAAACTTTATTTCAAATCTAAAAGAATAGTTTCTAGTTAAGCAATTTTGTAGCTCCTGATAGTAAAATAAATGGCATCCAGGTTAAGCAGATAGTGCTGTTCTTAGCTTTGCCATAGGTTTCAATGTCTCATTTTCACGTATGGGATGGCAAAACTTATTCTTCAGGTTTGGGATCTCTAGACAGAAAGCCAAAAGGGAACTAATGGAGTTACTTTATTACTGTATCAGAAATGTAGAGTTGTTCCACTGTGATTTATAATAATCTCACCTTTAATTTTTCATTTTCAATATTAATGTTTTCATTTTCAGAGTTAACAGAACTTAGCTTGCCAAGAAGTTCCTCATTTGAGTTTCTTCTGTACTCCTCCTTTTTCTTCAGATCTTCCAAAAGGCTTGTAATCTGCCTTGTTAGGTAGGCAAAAACTTCTGCATAATTCATACACAAGGCTTCCAAAACTAGCATTATACAGGTTAAATTGTACTTTACTATATACTCCTTCATTACTCTTGTTTTGAATTTCTTTAAAGACACACACAAAATAAGAAAACAAGAGAGAACACTTTAAAACATCCCAAGTAAGCAGTAACTACTGAAATAGGAAGTTCCCCGAAAGAGAGATGTGATACAACTAAAGGATACCAAGCAAGTGGACCCAGCTTAATTACAAATAAATGTAATAGGTAGAACACACAAGCATATTTCCAAGGCAACTATGCATATACACAATATACCATATGGAATTTATAAGGGCTAGCAGATAATATCCTACCAGGATATTTCATAGTGAGCTTTAGGAATAGCAGTTCGCAGTATTAAAAGCAACACATTCTCCTTTATGCCTCACCATTTGTTTTTTAAACAATTAAAGTCATTTAATTTGTTAAGAAATTAAAAGTTAAAAAATTTGTTTCGCTCTTTAGTTAACCATAAACTGCCTAGTACCACAGGTCTTGTTAGAATGTTACATTTCAAGCAAAGATATATTTCCAATTAAAATAAAAACAACAAAAAACAGTTGGAAGTAGAAAAAGTTCTTGAGGCAAGTATCACAGATGTTTCCCTTTTCTTATTCTTTCCTAGATGTGTCCTTACAGACACTGGACCAACAGTGGGCTAGATGGATTTCTGGCCTAATCTCATATACCTATTTTTATCTTAAATTTTAAAATATACTGAAAATATTTTCATAAAAATCAGGTTTTTCAAACAAAAAAAAACCTCAACCCAATTTAATGCGAACTATTAAGTATCCGAGCATGAATCAAGTTCTTTATAAAATATATATTCTGCCCTAGACCTAGCATAAAGGTACCTACTAGTTTCTTTTGCTTGTTTGAATTGGAGTCCATATTTCTACCCACAGAAACAGTAAAAGGATATTTCTCACCGTCTGCCAAAGCAAATGGCATTTCTTTTGTGTACATTAAGAAGTGACTGGGTAGTTGGATTACGAGTGGATAGTTTTATATTGCTTGTCAGTACAGGAATAAATTAAGTGAGCATCTGAGAGCAAACCCCACTCTACACTCTAGGCTTAGTGGGGTGATCCATTACTGGAACTGGAATATTTTGCTGCCGTTATTCTGCAGTAGAAACCGGAAGCTGAAGTGAGGAGCTTTTCTATACTCCTGTAGAGGCAAGGATTAACACTCAGGCTGTTATTGTTCAATCAGTTAGTAAATAAATAATTTGGAGGAAATGGCATAGTACCTACTGCCAATCCTAGGTTGATAGGAAGTACACAGGGCAAAGACCACATTCCTGACTTGTACGGGAGACTGAAGTTACAGAAAAGTTGTGAAATATAACAGAGAAGGCTAAAATTATTAAATTTGTTCTAGCTTCCAACTTCTAAATTCTGCTCAGAAGTTGAAAATACAAAGACATACATAAACTTATTTACATGTCAACACTGAGTGTTACACTACTAAACATCAAAATTATTATGAGTCTATAGAACTAAAAAATAGACCATCAGCAGTTTAACTTACTTCTTAAGATCTTCTGTTTGAATTTCTAACATTGTCTTCTCTTCTACTATCTTATCATGCTGTTTTTTCCAGACATTGGAAGTGGACAGGATCTCAGACAGTTTGACTTCCTGGCAAATACATGAATTATAAACCATATAACATAAGAATGCCACTAAAGAATACCATTCAATTCTAAAAAACTTCTAAGCATAAGAGGTATTGCATATAAGCTAGGCGTAACTGGATCTCTATAGTACAAAGCAATTTAAATTTTGTCTTCTTGTCTCAAGAGAAAATAAGCAAAACTGTACCTATTTTAAAAAAATTAAGTCTAAATAAAGAATACTTTTAAAGCAGAGCCACTGTTAAACACTGCTACTGTATATCAGCTGTAGAACATACAAGTATTTCAAAATTTAGGATGAAAAGCTTTTCTTACAACAAAGGTATTTGTCTGTAATACATCTCTAGAATACAGAAATTAAATAAATTAACACCAAAAGCAAATTCCGCCAAAACTTTTTATGAATAAAAAATAATAGCTAGATAAGAAATGCATAGTCAGGTTAAGATCCTCAGAGAAGTATGGGTGATTAAGTAACACATGCTATCTTGAAAGTACACTAACACGTATATTGTACTTCTGAGCTTAGTCACTGTACCTCCACAAAGGTCTAATAGGAAGATCAGGAGAGGTGTAACTGAAAGCTGATGAGACCCCTCATATTTACTACAATTTGAAGTGTACAGCCCTGTGGCTTAAGACATTAATTTTTAACAAAACAAAGACCACAAACATAGTAATAAACTGCATGTTTCTTATATCAACCTTTTCCTCAACCCAGGAGGAAAAAAAAAAGAAAAGTTACAAGCAAAACATGATCAGGCAACTTTTCCTATTTTCTAAAGGTAAAAGTCTCCTATTTCTTCATTTTAAAACAATACAGTACAACATTGCTCACAATGTAGTCACTCACACGTTCTCTTATTCTGGAAGTGATATTTTCCACAGCTGCTTCAAAGTGTTCAGCTCTTTGTTTCTGGGACCTGGAGGCTTTTTTCAGAGCAGTCTTCTTTTGCTCACTTGTTTGCCTTAAGGCTGAAATCTGCTGCTTGCATTCATGAGCTTGAAGTTTCCACTGTGCTATTTTCTTTTCTAGAGTCTGCAGTACAAATAAACACCAACTCTGTTCAAAACCTGACCTTATGGATCAGGTTTTGACTTCTCATAATCAGGAATAGCAATTACACTTGCGACCTGTTTGCATGTCTCTGTATCTCAAATCTTGTGGTTGACAGAAGGAGCTAGCCAAGGGATGTACACAAGGAGGCAAGAAAAAACACAACCCGGGAAACTCATAAGGAAGATGAGCAAGAGAAGAGGTTGAGGAGGTGCAGAAACAGAAACAGGAGTAGAGGAGAAGACAACAAGCTAACCATCACAATATACTCTTGAAAATAAATGCAAAATTTCAATGCTGAAGACACAGCATAGCTGTTAAACCCATTGGTGAGGAGAAAAGAGTCGTTTCGTGATCCCCTAGTGACTGATCTCTGTAAAGAATAACATCTTAATGATGCTACCAGTGATATTCACTGATTTAGTAACAGTCTGTGCTCTGAATCCACACAGTGAGCATGCACATAACTAAGGCTGGAGATCAGTATAACTGCACATAAAATTTGCATACAGAAGTTAAGATATTGGATTCAGGTTTTTAGGTCAAGAAGCTAGGAGAGGCTGAGGCCTTTTCTTGAATATATGCATTATGATACACTCTGTGATTACATGACAAGATACTATTTTCTCGCAAGATCTCTGACTACTGCCAGTGCATACAATGGCCCTGCTCTATTAATGTAACAGAACTGTCTAGTGAAGAAACTATTTGTTATGGAAATACTGCCTTATATTTTGTATTCTATGTGTAGTGAGTGAGAAAGAAAATGCAAAAAAAAAAAAAGACTAAGTGCTGCCTTGCCTAGTGATTCAAGTTGTTTAAATGTAATTTTAATACAGTCTATTATAAAGCTTAGGCACAAGGAGGTAAATCAAACATTGTAAGGACAATTATAATCTACCACTTCCTGAGAGTTTAATTTTGCAGCCTCCATGCATTTTTAATGTATTAATTTACACTATCAAATGTATACAACGCAACCTAGATTAGGGCTGGGTTCTACAACTGTCATTACGTAATCATTTCTATTGTTTTTAATGTTTCTGACTAACTAGATTTTTACATCTGATGAACACCGTGTACAGATCCCATCCAACCTAATGAGCTGACCTCTCTAACTTCTTGACATTTGTATTTTCATCTACCTATCACTTTTTATTTAAATATGAATGGAAAAACAATAGACATTAGAAAACAACAGGATGACGCACAAGAAAAGCAATACTGGACTATGCTTCAAGAAGGATCTCAGATAAAATTATTTTTAAGGTGCTACAGCTTATCAATAACAGGAACAAGTTTCCAGCAGACAGCTACTTTCACAAAGACAAGTATAAGTTCCATTCACATCATCTATTACTCTTCTGCCAAACTATGGAAAAGTAAATATACTTACTAGCTGCCTGTAGCACTGCAGATGAATTTGTCTCAAGTCACTGATAAATATCCTAATTTGTCAGACTGATTGAAAGGTAGGATAAAAACATGCATTGATTTTTTTCATTTGAGTTTCAGTCTGATACTTACCTAATGTGTGTTCTACATCAATAAAGATCAGAATGACATGCCATTTACCTCGTGACTATTGATTTGCCATCCTTATTCATGATGCTATTTGCCAATTGCTATAAAACGTCCATATCATATAAGCATATAAGAGGATATCAGTCAGTACAGGTCCTATGCTAATGGCCCCCAAACCTATCCATGATCAATGCAAAATGTATGCGGTTTGCCACGTGAAAGATGGTCTCAGACCACTGGGACTCAGCAAGAAGGAAAAGTACTACTTCCAGATATGAAAACCAAATATGTAGGAAACACTTTTCACATATACATGCTTATATGGTATTTTAAAAAAACCAAAAACATGACTTGGAGGAAAATACCTTCAATGAATGGCGCAAACAGAAAACCTCAAGTCTATGTATGGCTTTCTTTAACTGTTGATACAAGTACACAACTGTTATCCCCTGTTATAACCGCAGGAGGTCGTACTCACACTAAGAATGAATGCTTTGTGTAGTATTCAGTGGCTCAGGTAAATTTAAATTTAAAATTAATTTCATAAAGATAAGGTTAAGCTGCCTCAAGTTTTTAATAATAATAAATCATTATCAGGATTTGAGCTGGCAACTAACTTCAGCACTTTCGGAAAAACAAGTACAACTTTTAAATAAAGATTGCAGGAAAATACAGTTACAGATCAAGTTACTTTATGCAGACACCATTTAATAAAAACGTTGTCTGAACTCTAATAATTTTACTAAGTAGAACATGAATGTGACTTTTCTTCAGAAGAAGATATGAGGCGTTTACATAGACATAAAGTGATTTTTTTGAAATTGAACTGCTGTAGGTTCTTGAACAGCTTCAAATGCTAACAGCTGTGGGGGATGTATGCTATTGAAAAAAACATTTAGAAATGAGCAAAACACTATTGTGCAGCAAACGCTTTCTCACTTACACCTATGTTCTTTTCAAGTTTCAAATACTAAAATCTGAGGCCACATACAGGTGCAGTCTTCCTGACACCGGATCTGTTTCTTGTTATCTTCTAAAACTGGCAACTGCTACAAATGCCTAATTTACCTCTTGCTTGTTAGAACAGAAAATGGAATTCATTTCCTTAAACCTACCTCAAACAAAGTGAGGGTAGGCATTAGTCTTAAGTGTCTCTGTCAGTAGGACAGAGTTTTATTGACTCCTTTATAGTCTTTAAAAAGAGACAGGTGGTGATTTAATTATAACGACTCACCCTGGGGACACATCTATCTCTTTCTATTGACTATACATGGAGTTTAGACAACTGCTTCAGAATCGTTATCTAACTTCTAGAGAGTACAGTTAGGTGAGTGCAAATGCTTCTATGCGTGCATAACTTCTCTTCAACAAAACTACTAGTATGTCTTGATTTAGATGCATTCCCCAGGACATTCTCCATGAGTGTCTATAGCATAAGTTGAGAAAAGCAGAAAAAACAACTTGCAGTTAAGACAATGTATTTATGCAGATTCTGTAAATTATAAACGTCCATGTTTTTTACTGTTTTGGATTTTTTTTTGATTCAAGAGTTTGATATCAAGTGACATTTTAACACTTAACTGTCATATCTGCGTTAACCTCTGACCACAGGAGGGCTTCACTAATTTACAAATAAACTGAAAGAAAGGTAAAAATATTTTGACCTGTATTTTCACTTTTAATTCATCATTCTCCACTTCTTTTTTCTGAATCTGACATTGCAGGTGAGTTTGTACTGCTTTTACTGATCTTGATAGGTGGTCTGCTTTCACTACATTGACCTAAGAAAGGGAAATGAACACAAATCTATTAGTTTGTGGAGACTCACCATATGATGCTATTTATACTTTTTTCTACTTTGCCTCACAATTTCTAACTGACATTTGAACACCCTCAAAAGCTGGAAAAGATAAAACATGCTCTACAAGTGAACTCACAAGCAGTTACTTCTTAGTTATCAGTATTACATCTCTGTAGAAAGCTCACAATAAACTGAAATCACAAATTTAAAAGAATGTATATATAATTGATGTCTTATATTTAATTTGATTCTATTAGTAGCAAGAACTACTAACAGAAGTAGTTCATAGGCCCATGAACCATAGGCCGTAATAGCATGGGCCTAGAAGCAAACTCAGAAATCCAAGGCTGAGCAACAGCATCTAGTTAACAGGCTCGCTAAGGCTAGGCCACACTGATCAGCTCTGTCCTGACTAACGAGGCCTGAACCAATCTTCATTGAACATCAAAGACCACCCACCGCTATTAGATGTATTGAGCATCTACATTTAATTCAAACTCTAATTCCAGGGGGATATATAAAAGACAAGGGAAAGGCAACTTATGTCAGCAGAACTTAGGTCAGCTGATTCTATTAAATCTCGTGCCACTGGATTCCTTTGGCTTGTTCTGAATGAGGAATAACGAAAACAGGGAAAAAGAAGTCATATTATCAGTGGAGACTAGGAGAGCAATGCAATGTTCGTGCAAGTGTTCGTTACAGATACCAGTAAGAAAGGCACTCAGATTCCATAAGGTAATGTTTAAAACACTATTTATTGGAGATAACATGAGGAAAAAAGAAGGGAATAGCATAATCTTTCACCCCATTCTAATCCAACCTCCTGCTCAAAGTAGGGACAGCTATGAGATTGCTCAGGGCTTTATCCAGTTGGATCTTGGAAAACCTCCAAGGACGAAGACTGTATAGCCTCCCTGGCTCCCTGTTCCACTGCTTTATATCATGGAAAAGTTTCTTCTGATATCCAGTCAATCCCTCTTGTTTCAGTTCGCGCCTGTTGTCTCTTGTCCTCTTGCTATGCACCTCCGTGGACAGCCTGGCTCCTCTTCTTGATAACCTTTGCATAGGGGGCTGTTATTAGGCCACACCAGCCACCTCTTCTCCAGGGTGAACAAGCCCAGTTCCCTCAGCTTGTGCTCCAGTCCCTGACCATCTTGGCAGCCCTCCACTGAACTCGCTCCAGTTTGTTAATGTCTTTCCTGATACTGGGGAGGTCCAGAATTGGACACCATATCCAGATGTGGTCTGACAAGTGCTGAGTGGAGAGAGCAGTCACTTCCCTCAGTCTACTGGCTTTGCTCTTGTTAATATAGCCCAGGATGCTGTTGGCTGTCTTTACTGCCAAGGCCCACCGGTGGCTCACGTTCAGCTTACTGCTCACCGGACCCCCCCCCCAGCTGCTTTTCTGCCGAGCTGTCCCCAGCCAGCCAGACCCAGCCAGGCGTTCCTCCTTCTCACAGACAGGACTTTACATTTGTCTCTGTTGAATGTCGCAAGATTCCTGCCAGCCCATTGCTCCAGCCTGGCCAGGTCCCTCTGAATAGCAGCCTGGCCATCAAGCATATAGACTGGTCCTCACAATTGCGTGTCATCTGCCCACTTGATAAGCAACCACTCCATCTCCTCCAGGAGGCCACTGGTAAAGATGTTAAACAAGCAAGGTCCCAGGACAGATCCCTGCAGTACTCCTGGCCACTACGTAGAGGACAATCCATTAACCACTACCCTCTGGGATTGATCATCCCAGCAGTTTTTCATCCATCTAGTTGTCCACCCATCCTGACCACAACGAAACATGTTTTATTTGCAATGATTTAAGTTCCAATTTTGTACTAAAAAAAAGTTTAATCCTGTATTCAATTAAATATCATTGTTTTTTATTTTACCAGGTATGTCTGTCTGATGTTGGAAGCAAGGCAAACATGTTAAATAAACAAATATAGAGTCTTCTGCCTCTTTTGGGGCAGTACATTGGAATAAAATGATAATGTGCAGGCAGGCCTACTGGACTTCAACTCCAAGATGTATTCATAGAAGCTAGAGGCTGCAGAGTGCTTTCTCCCAGACTGCCTAAGACTAGTGGAGGAAATTGTGTTGAGAAAGTGCTGAGTTCCAAGATGAATTCCCTTTCTTATGCAAAGAAAATTACTTAAAGCCCCAAAGAGTTACAAAGATCAAACTGCAGCCTTTTCCCCTTAAAGATCTAACTGAGCCTACACTATCCCTCACCGACATTGAGCCACTTAGTACTGTTAAATACCTACAGTTCGCATTACGTATATATTACTGTAACAGAGATTGCTAAACTAACATTAAAATCACAGTACCGAAAATGCTGTGGCACCCTCTTATAAGGCACCCACTTCTCTTCCTGTGCTGGTTCCTGCACTGAGCCCCTTCCTTTGGTTCAGAGAATGAATGAGACGATGCTAATCTTTGGAGATATTAGCACTGTTGTCAGTACTACCCTTCGCTGTTTGTTGAGTTCATAGAGTCATAGAAACTAACTGTGAACAGCGCACCTGTTTCTTTTACCCTGTATAACTTCATTATATGTATTTTTTTCAGGACTACTGCAAATCCGTAAGAAAGAAGCCACAAGTGGGTCCAAATCCATAGGTCTAGATGAGTGTCTCTCCCTGAACCGTGGGGCGTTAGCGTTAAGGACAATCTGTACTCTTTACTCCTACATAGGTTTGGATACAGTCTTGATGGTTTTGAAATATTTCTGCAGAAATATGTATTTCAGGATTTTTCTCATGTATCTTTAAAATAATTACTTTTCTCAAAATTTAAAATTTGTAATTAAGAATCTAAAATATTAGGAGGAAATAATCATTCCTAAGGATTGGTCACTCACTTTTTCAAGCTGAAGCCTGGATGAAAGTTCTTTAACACGTTCTTCTCTTTCAAGCATCTCTCTCTTGAGACTCTTCATGGAAAAAATATAACAAAGAAATAAATTATTTTAATGTCTGTACACAACAATTGTTCTCAACACAACAGCACTGCACAATAATAAACATTTCAGTTATAAAAATAACTGAGATTTCATTGTGATGATATATCACAATTTCCCTCATGCTCTTTAATATGAAAGAAATTATGACCCCAAATATGCACTTGAAAGTGCCTGATGAAATGTAACGTTTCCTGTAACGGTACAGATCATCGTAGGTACTATGTCGATTGATACCACTAAGATTTGTCTTGGAACATTTGCCACAGTTGCCTTCAAATCAAATTGTTTTTAGTATTCTCTTGTCATAATATTTAAAAACAACAGTACTATTTAAAAAAAAAGATCACACGACAGGCAGTAGGAAAAATGGGCAGAAATAAAAGGGAAAAGATGAAAGGAACAAAATAAAAATTTTGGAACTCTCCGGAGTTTTTAGAAAACAAAAAGCAAATACAACATAAACAGATTTAATAGACATTTGTGAACAAAACCTAACTAACTAATGCACTTTCTGGACGGAGAACTCCCTAATTTTAACTCTTAGGTTGGTCTACGCAAGTGTCTCTGATATTTCCATCAAATAATGGTTTTCAAATATGAGAGCCACAGACGGATTGTGTTCTGCTTATTTACTGGTTAGGTTACCTGCAAATCACATGCTCTCAGTTGCATTCTGGTTACCCGTTTCTGGGTTAACTTTGCATAAATTACAAAGAGTAACTCGAGGGCTTAAGATGATCAAACTGCAGGCCACTGCAGTGACAGTTCTCTCTTCTTATCCCAGGTTACACAAGGATATCCTTATACTGAGAATTCTCTAGTGAAAGGACAGGAATACAGTTGGGAGCAGACAGAGCAGAATTATCACTTTTGGCAGCAGTTCAGTTTGAACCACATAGACAGGCCATGGAACTGCAGGATAGCAGCTCTCAGTGCCTTGATTTTCCTCATCTGTTATATAAGACTAACACCTTATTCTATTCCTAGCATCAGTGTTTTTCACAACATCAGTGTTTAATCATAACATCAGTGTCTTTAAGCAGAACAGCTTGAGTGACAGATGTCTCATTCCTTTTCATTCAGAATTTGGGCACGTTTAAACTGTCAACGTTTGTATTTTAAAATTAGAAAATCACTCTGGGAAAAATGTTGTATTTCTGTGAAAAAATAAAGTGTAATAAAAAGTATTAATATTTTTCCTTTCATGAAGCAAATTGTCTGGATTCCACTTTCACATTTTAAGCTTCCCGTTACTAGGCTGTTTCTTTCCTCATTGCTGACAGATGACAAATATATGAAACCAAAGCAGGGGTTTAAATTCTTCTTCCTTTTGCATTCAAAACTGTGTTGCCCAATCAACAGCACTACTATCTGAGTATGGTTGTGACTTTGCAGCAGAATCAAACTAAAAAATTATTTTTGTAATAGTCACTTCGGGCAGAGCAAAAAAACAGAAAAGCTACAAGTTCCTTATGTTACCTGTTCATTCATGTCAAAATAAAAGACTGGCTGTACTTGCAAGAATATTGCATAATGCAAAGTCAGTATATGACCTTAGAAAAATCTTTATCTTATTTACAGTAAGCCTAATAGTTACTCTGGGTCTGCTCTACATATAAAACAATGTATAATCCATTCAACATTGTAACAGAAGTGATAACAAAATCCAGCAAATCTCTCTTCTAAACTATGTAATAATAAAATAAAATGATGGTGATAGTTCAAGGTTCAATGTTCATATAAACAGGACTTCAAGACAGCAGTACACTCCCTATTCTCACCCTTGTCACTGCTACATGAAATTGTATGAAACCATGATCTAGTCATTTCCAGAGGTACAGTATAGAACAAAAAGAGGTAGAAATTTTTCATTTACTTACAGTGTTTCGGGTTTCATTTTCATTTAACTTCTGCATCAAAGTGTCAACGTTTTTACTGCTTAACTGCAAGACAGAAGCAGAAAAAATTAATAAATGACTGGATTATAATTGACAGTCTATTTTCAATGGCATTTTGGTATATATAAAATCTCTCATACTCATGAGCTATTTAGAGTTGGTGGGTTAAATCTTAAAGATTCAATTTATTTTGGGCATAGAATTTCTCAGCTGGGAAAACAAACCACGGTTATTCCCTATGCCAACTTCTTTTATATATTTTAAATAAAAACACTCTAAAAGCTATAAATACTTAAGTTTTACCTGAACAAGCAGTTAAACAGTAAAAGCACAGGTAAAATTTATAATAGTTTACAGGTTAATATTAAGCACTAAAATTTTCCAGGAACTTCAGTTAGATATGAGAATTTGAAGAACAAAACAGAAAAGATAGTTTGGGAGATCACAAAAATCAACCTGCATTAACTGTTACTACAGATCCAAAGAATTCATGTGACTATAACATTGTCAACTATTTCTTTCGTTTTAAAACGTCTAGTGTGTTGGGGGAGGGGGGCTAACTTTCAATGAAAAAAAATTAGACTGATGGGACTTCCAGCTTGTAATCCCAAACATTTAATTTCACTAGTGAGAGGATAAACCTACTGTTTCCAAGGAGATAGGATCGCTCAGCGTCTTACACAATTAGATCTAATCCAAATTCTGAATGACAAGAAGGTAATAATCAGTAGCATGAGGTGCATTCATGCTCCAGTACGCACTGTGCTGGCTCAGAAATATTTTGAGCTTTGTATTATGAATTAGAACAGCTCTTCCCAAGCCTTTTAAACTCTAATCTTCCTGTACCAGTAGGAACTACCTGTGTCTAGCCACATCCTGCATCCTGTCACCGCCTACCTGGTTCCCCAGTCCCCTGGGAGCGCTTCACCTCACTGATGTTTATTTATGGCTCCCACAGGACACTCGTGATTGCTTTGGATAATCTTACATGTTCATGTTCTGTTGTCTGCAGTAAAAGCCATAACAATCTTTTTGTGCTTTGGAGTGTTTCCAATTCTTTTATCAGCAAACCCTCTTGTACAGCAATAATTGTCATCGCTGATGTAGAAAGTTTACACACCTGTTAAAATAGCATAACCAAAAATATATTACACACTAATGAGCTACAATATTCCCTCAAACTAACATCTATTACTAATATTTAAATTTTGCTTTAAAATACAGTCACCACAAATGTATAAATGTTTGCAACTACACAGCAATAAAACAAAACAAAACAAAAAGTGCTGCCTGATTAGTGTTTAAACAGTGTATGAAACATACAGATTCCTCTTCCAATCTAACAGAAACAGCAATAGTGTGCTAAATTCAAGTAAAATATTTCTTTCTGACAAATGGCCCAAATCCCACTTTTAAGGAGTAAATTCAGTTACGTTAAACTGGTTACAAAAACCAGCAAAATGGAAACTTTGGCATCAAAAGTTTTACTGAGAATTCCTTGCAAAGAGGCCACCTCATCCTGGTGTGCACATAATTATTCAGAATATTTTCATGTTCATGTTCTTGAAGAAAACTTCAACTGGAACTTTGCAACAGCAATTTATAGAGCTCAGTCGTCAGAAAAAAAGTGAAAAAAGCCTCCAAATTATAATCAAGTTATCCTGATTTGTGAATCTCTTTCGTGAATTTAAAAAAACAAGGAGGATTTTAAGGAACATGTCTAAATGAGGTTATTCAATTCAGGGTTACATAGATAACACTTCTGTAGCTACTGTACAATATTGCATGCAAAGTCTACAGCCATAAAGGTGATAAATGCATGCACTCAAGTCTGCTTGTAAATCATACAGAAACTCTCTCTGATAAATGACTGACAGTGCTGTAGCTTGACACAATGACACCTATGGTTCCAGGATTTCTGATAACATCTATCGCAGGTTAAAAACAAGACATTTACACCCCTCTGTGCCTTTCAGAACGTCTTTTCTGTAGCCTCTGTAAATGTGACAATCATTTGCAGAAATTAAAAATTGAAGCTTTCTGAACTAAAAAATTATAATTGTACAGTCACTGATAGAAGCAATAAATTGAAAGAGAACACCAACTTGTTTTGAATTCAGTGCTTACTATGCGTGCAAACTTCATGACGTTAAAATGTACTTACCTTTCTCTTTCTATCAACTAGGTCTTTAAAAGTTGGCAAAAACTTTCCTGCTAAATTAACTGCCATCTCTGCTTCAAAAAGCTTCTCCTGCAAAGAAGCATTTTCTTCCATCTGCCTGATCACGTGCAGAATAATAAATACAATTTGACTTCTATTAATAAATCACCAAATAAGCAAGATAGATATACCTCGTTAATAGTAAGAAATACTATAACTAAATTCATTTAAACCTGCATAGTGAAACTTAACTCAGCTACGAACCTCAGGCTTCTCTGTAGCATTATTGTCAAATATATATTTAAATCTGTACTTACTACTCAAAAGAACACTTGCCTCCTCCAGAGACAGATTCTATGCTGAAGGTAAAAAGTTCAAAATATCATCTCTAGCATTAAAAACGTATCCTAGAAACACTAATACGACTCCCTTCTAACTGTAAAATGACCCTTTAAAAACTGAAGGTACTTTTTATTAATTGAGCTTTTTATGTTTGTATTACACTCATTTATTTATGTTGCCTAAATACACTATCATTGGTTGCTGGTTTTCATTCATGAGCAGTGTTGCAAGAGTTTCACCAAAAATGCAGTTTCTCACAATTAAAAAATTAAATCAGTCTTTCTTCAGAGGGCCTACACAAAACCCAACATACCCTAACGCCAAACTACGTCAGCTGTCTATCCAGGCATTCATAGGTCAATACTCGAGCGCATACTCTCAGGCTTCAAAAGCTGAAGAAGTCTATAAAAACACTCTTTATCTCATGAAATTTTATAATCATGTTTCTCGTTGCCTAAAGTATACCTCCTCACCTCACTTTCATTCAAGTTCTGTTGTACATGGGTTTTTTGCGATCTTTTTTTAAGCAGTGGTGACCGTTTTGTTAGCTTGATCTTATGTTTATCCATACGCGCAGCGCACAGACCCCAATTCTGCTTCCAGGTTTCCTCCTCTGCACGCACTGCAAACTTATAAACATTTTATTCAGTCATGTTTTAATTCCTTCCTGGCTACGCTGAGTCAGATTTGCTACCATGAAGTAATAAAGTCGTAAACAGGAATTGTAGTTTTCTGCCCACACAGAACTTAATCAGAGGAAAGGGATGTGCTTAGAAGACTTGCCAGAACTGAGAAGTAAACGGAAACCTGAAGTAGTCACACCATCTTTCAATTCTCAGATAATTACCTTCCCCATAGTCACCTCTCTATAAACCTACTTTCAATCAATAAAAAGCCTCATGCTACAAGTGAACTAGCACTGTACAGCGAACTCAAAGGATCAAGAATATTATCCTTAAATTTAAAAAAGGTTTAGAATAAATACTCATCTGTTAGCTTGCAAGAAGAGGTTAACTTTACGACTTCTGAAAGAAAACTATGAAAGTTAGCAATGAGAAATTAAATTAAATTTTAAAAGAACTTCCCATTCTTCACTTACTGAGGCTTCTGCGCAAGTTCGATACTACACTGCTATTAAGCTGGAATTTATTGTGATTTACTTCCTGTCTGAACATATATAACCCTGTGAGGTCCTTCCATGCAGGAACTTATTTAGTGCACAGGACACAAGAAAGAAATCTTTCAAATATATCTAATAAAGATGATGAGACTAAATGTCAGTTTAAGATTTACATAAGAAATTTATATTCACATTGGTTCTACATTTATGTCTTATATGGTTTCTTACTTGGTGTTCTAGACAGTCAGATTCTTTGCTTAGATCAGTAAAATTTCCATCTTGGCCAGCTTTTGTAGTTATACAACAATCTTTTTTATACGGCTGAATCAGTGAACAGAATTTTGCTGCTTCTCCAGATGTAACAGGTGGCACACATATTTTTCCCTGAAAAAATGTTCATAATTATGTAACATTTAGCATCATTCACCGTTCCTATATTCATCTTTTCACTTCAAGGCATATCAACAGAAAACAAGTCACCTTTTCAGGAGAATTATTTAGGAGGAATTTTAAAGATAAAATAAATTTGTCATGTATTATTTCCAACAAGGGTAAAATCCTGTAGTATCATTAAGATGTGCTCTCAAACTGATAGCTCATAGACTACACCAACCCTACAAGGCAAAGGCAACTAATTTACGTCCAGAAAGCTGGACGCTAAGTCTTGCTCAGATACTGGTGTTATGTTTCACAGCAGAGTTTATCTCATTTGGAGGCAGCAACGGTTTTTCCCTTTTCCAGGGCTGGAAAAGCTCCTCACTTTGCAGGGCTGCACAGGAAAACGGTCCTGCTCCCGTCACAGGAAGTCCAGACTCAGGCATCAGCACTCGCTACACAAACGCGTCCCACCCCCCTCCCGCCCTTGTCGAGCACTGGGAACCTGCCTTCTCTTCTGTCTTCACCATTACTGCAGCCTGTCCCCATCCCTTTTCAAAGTACCTCTCTCTTGCCCTCAACCACCGCACTAAATAGTATAACTGGTGCTCCCCCAAGCGCTAGGTTATCGCTGTCTGCTCTGCACTCATCATCCATTTCCCAGTCTTTCCGAACTGGATTCTCTTTCCTTCACCACTGACCTGGACCCATTTTTCCTGCTTCCATACTGTGTCAAATACACCCCCTCCAAAAACATTGGTCAGGCTAAGGGTTTGTTTTCTTCCATTCATACCCCCTTAGTAATGTATCTGAAAAGCTGTATAACAGAATTCAGGAATATTCCTGACTAGAAAATTCACTGTCTCGCAAAACCAGAATGCAGACTGTTCTGCTTCCAGCTCTTGTCATAGGCTAAATAACTACACCCAAATCATTTAACTTGTATTTTTTATACTTACATTTCTTGTTTTGTTACAGGCTTACATGTCCTGGCAGAGTTCAATTTGTGTAACACAGCGTAGGTCACTATACCTTCTTCTTGGCTATATAGCCAAAACTAAGTTGTTGAACTTGGCCACATTCAGTGAAAGCAGAATCTCAGAATATTAAACATAGTATTTAGTTTATCCTAAACCATCTATATAGGCAGAAAAAACCAAACAAGATTTTTTTCATAGTTTCAATACACCGTTTTTATGTTTTTACACGGATCCATTTTTTTGAAATATAGCCTATTTCGCATCTACAGTTGGGAAGCCGTTTAAAAAAAAATGTTTAGACTCTTGGCAACAAAGCAAATAAAAGGAAGAAATAAAGTTTAACAGGAACAGAACAAACTTGCCTCAGTAACATCTGGAAGGAAAAGCGTTTCCTGAAAATCAGAGTCCAATAAAGGAACAGTACAGTTACGTGCAGGAAAGGATGATGATGATGGCGATGATGACGACATTTTGTTCTAACTCTGTAGGAGAGGTTTGTATACGTTAACATGTGAAGCTATTCCAAGAATCAGTAACTGAAAGGGGACTGGTATCCCAAGTCAGTCTCTCTAGAAAATACACCGTGCCAGAGCAAGTAAAACCCAGTCTCACAGCAGACTTAACACAATTAACGCAACAGAAATCTTACATACATATTCATACCTGGTGCAGCTGTTTGCTTAATAATCATGTATGCAGTACCAAATTCACGCATTTCTGTCACGAAAATTCAATCATCCCCCACAGGCAGAAAACTGAACAGGCGGGAAGGAGAGGGTAAAGCCTGCAGCAGAGATTTCCTCCTCCCAGCGACAGCCTGAGCTGCGGGGGCCCCGGTGAGCGGCCTCACCCCCACGGGGCAGCTGGAGACAGGGCTGCCCCCTGCCCTCGCTGGGGCCCAGTGCCCGTGGGGCAGGGCTCCCTCAGCACCCCCCGTGGGGCAGGGCCTCCTCAGCACCCCCCCATGGGGCAGAGCCCCCTCAGCACCCCCCGTGGGGCAGGGCTCCCTCAGCACCCCCCGTGGGGCAGGGTCCCCTCACAGCCCCCCCCGCGCGGCA